TTGATGTCTCGTTCCTCTATAAAAATTGTAAACGCACATGCGAAATGCAATTTTTTCTTCTGTTTTTTTGAAATGCAACTTTTTTATACAATCGATTAATCATTTGTACCCTATAAAAAAAGTTGTCATTTCGTAAAATATTACACAAGCTATAATTCAGTATATACATAATTAAGGACTTACACCACTAGCCCTTATTATAAGTTCTCAACCTTATAGTATGTAGCAAGAATAATCTGAGGGATAATTGAACTAGTTTTATATGAACACATATCAAAGTCAATGAATATAAGAAGATTTAGGTCGACTATTCTATACGACTATACCAAATTTCATATATATATCTAATAATATATTGTTCTATGACTTTTGCTCTGAATTTATATTAGTACTAACAATTCTTCATTTTTTCCTTTAGTGCCAAACCAATGACCTTCTCAATGCAAATCCCTCTCCTTCTGTTCCTCTTCTTCTTCCCTCTATTAAACGCCTCAGACCCAAAACTTTGCTACTCTTCTTCGTGTAGTCTCGCAAAGATCGACAGAAAGATCAACGTTCGTTTCCCTTTCCGGCTATCCCCCAAGCAACCTGAGTCATGTGGCCACACAGGATTCAACCTCCTATGCACTGATCATCAAGAGACAACTTTAAAGCTTCCTAACTCTGAAACATTTCTTGTCCAAGAAATCGACTATCTACATCAACGTCTCAGCCTCAAAGACCCTGAGAACTGCTTAGCGAGACGACTTCTCAGCTTCGATGCTTCAGGGTCTCCTTTTTCTCCTCTTCACCTTCTCAACTACGCCTTCTTGAGCTGTCCTAAAGAATATGTCAATTCTTCTCTTTATGGACCAATTCATTGCCTTGGTAATTCCACGTCTTCCTTCTTCGCCACGCCTCTACTACTCGTGGGTTCGATGCCAACCTCTTGTAAGATCTTCAAGAAATTACTTCTTCCTGTTTCTTCACCTCTCGCCTACATGTCCGGATTCGCCGGTGACCTCAACGACCAAAACCTCTGGCTGAAATGGGACTCGCCGAATTGTAGTGTTTGTGAGAGAAAGACTAATTCAAGATGTGGTTTCATAAACAATACCACCAGCCAAGTCCAATGCATAAGTTCTTTTAACTCCGGTACAAACCGATCTCAATTCTTACCCCTTCTTTTTACTTCACAATCTTCTAAATTAAACAATATCATATAGTTTTGAGAATATTCTTTCTGAAAGAATACATTAATGGTGAACAGTTTCAAATCCAGGGAATTGTTTGATTTTTTTTTGTTTCTTTCATGTACCTATCTAATGATCGTACTTATCTAATGATTAAACAACAAAATGAATATACAGTTGGTATTTACTAATGACATAAAAACATTGACTTTGATTAATTAATCAATCACATCTTCAAATAGGCAAACATGAAAGAATTAATGTGGTAACATTATAATGGGTGTAAACGGCGACAAAAGAATTTTGCAGAATTTTTTGTTATTTTTTACGGAATCTAGTGAAATTATTGTGAACTTAAATGGTAACTGCTGAATTTTGCGGAATTGTAGAATTTTTAAAAATAAACTAATTAATTAAATTTATGAAAATAAACATTTAAATTGTGTGTATAAATTAAATGTATGTGTTTATAAGTATATTAAATTTTAAAAATAATAATATTTTATTGAATTATCTCATAAACCCAACTTATTTCATTATTATTTTCGTTTTTATGTTTGTTTAGAAAATTTTACAAGTATTTTTATTATTAACTACTAAAATTAGTAAAAACTTATTCATTAATAGTATTAGTAATTTATTAAACAAAGAACATAAAAATTAAACGTGTAATAAATTTATATAGACGTGTTAAAAATTAATCAAAATTTATTCTAGTTTTATGTCTACAGAATGAAAGTGTTACAAAATTATATAGGAAAACGTAAAATCATTTTTGTGTTTTTGTTTGTTTTTTTTATCAATTAGCTACTACTGTACTTTAGTTTTCACAATTTTTAACTATAAATCTTTGATATTTCTTTTACTTTTATTGTCATTTTTAATGGACACAATTCCAACAGATTCCACAATAATAAATTTAAATTCTAACTGGTGTAAATATATAACAACATTCCACATGATTCCACAAACTTCTTTACACCAGTTAGGCCCA